GCGTGGGGCTGGGGGGTGGGCAGGGAGCCTACCATCCTCTGTGGGAATGGAGAACAATGAGGTGGGGGAGCCGGGTACACTCCGTGAGAAACAAACCCGGGATCCGTGTCAGCTGAGCCTTTCACTTTACTTTTATTTTGTTGGCTTTTGCCCTGTCTTTTTTCCGGCGCAGTCTTGCTGTTATTTCCTTTTGCATGAGAGAAAAAAAAGAATTATACTTCTCAGGCTTTTTGGTGTCCTGTTTAATCATCCTGTGGAAAAAACCAGTCACTTGGAAAACAAGGTCATCTCTTAGCTAAACTTTGCTTCCTCATCCTTTGGTCCCTTTGGAGTGCCTGTGGAAAACTTCTGGCTTTATAATTACTAATAATAGTTGGAAAAAGAGGTGACAAATAGAATTAATTGTGGTGGGGTGTTTTTTTTTTGTTGTTTTGGATTTTTTGGGGGTTTTTTTGTTCGTTCTTTTTGTGTGTGTGTGTGTTCCTTTTGAATAAACGTTTTGCAAATGTTCTTACTTTCCATCCCCACTGGAGAGGTCTGTCCTAGATTTACTGCCCAAGGGTACCGCATGCAAAATAATTTAGACTCCCCCCTAAATCTGAGGACAAGGGTAACAGTTACACCACAGCTTTTCCCTCCAGGCTAACACCATTTTAGGTATCTCGGGAGTGGCCCGCAACTGGACCTGCAGAAGTTTTTGGAAGTCAGTATTTGGGTGCATTTGTCCTAGCTGTTTTTTGAGAACCCCTGGCAGAGCCTAGCAGGTCGAGCAGAAGTCTTGTGCTGTGGTATATGATGAAGACCACAGATGTCAGGAGTGAGACAGGCGGTAAACTGAGGGTTAACATGGCACAGCAGATCATGGTAGATGTGTGCAGCAGAGCCATGTGGGGAGCACAGGACCAGATCTGGTCTGGCAAGAGGTAAAAGAGGTCAAGGTAGGGGGGCACCAGCAGATCTTTATGGAGAAAGCCAGGACCAGAATAAAACAGTGTGCTATAGTTCAGAATAAATGAGAACAACACATTATGAGGCCCAGATGTTACTCGCTGGGGGTAGCCTGTTGTCAGAGCTGTGTAAGGAGCAAATGAATGCAGCAGACACATCACTTCTGTCTCTGCCCTTCCCAACAGCAAGATCCTTGAAGATGACGTCTGTTTGGCTGCCTACACTGCAGTGCCCTGATACATCTCAGCATTTTGCTGAGATTATACTGCTAGCATGGTCCCACCTCACCAGTCATCACCCAGCAACAACTGACATACAGATAATCTGTATCTGCCCTTTGGATTTTCTTCGTAGGTTTGTGTGTGTGAAGGGTTTAGTGCTTCAGAAGAGATACCTGTGTTATCAGGCAAACTGACTACAGTTGTAATAGAGGACTTCCATTCCTTCCGCTGCCTCTTTGCAGGGAGATCTCTCTAAAGCTTAGTGATGATCTGATTCAAATCTTTCCTAGTGGTTTAGAAGCCCCAAAACTCTCGCCTTTTCCTCATAGCCAATGACTTGTTCTTTTCCTTTATTATCTGACGACAAGCCACCTTTTTTGAGTCAGGGTAGTCATAGCGGTGCTGCTGATACAGCAGTTTTGCGTGTCAGTAGTTTTTAAAATTGGAGGTAAGAATTAAAGGTTTCTCTCCACTGCAGTTTCTTGTGTTAGGTATTGCCTTGTTGGATGTGCAGGTGAAAAACATGCAAAGTGCTGTTGCTCTTCAGCCTGCGTCTGTTCAGTGAGATTGTGAAACTCTCCTTCCTTCATAGCATTTATCAGCAGCATCTTGTATGCAAATGCATGTCCTACCACAAACTGCCTAAAAGAGCTTGAATGCCTTGTACTAATTGAGATGTTTAAAGGTCTTGCACTAACAGAGATGACCCTGTTTCTATTTTAAAAACAAACTTAGAATTTTCAGGGGGTTTGGTTGTGTTGGCAGCATCCAAATGGAGCACAGGGAAGAGACGTTCAAGCTAGCATCTCCATGGTGTGACATGCTTAGCAGATACTCACTTGGATCTACAAGGAGTAAAGTTAGCAAGCCACTTTGGCCAGGCTAAATACACCGAGCTCATCATCATAACACTTTTTCTTTAGCATATTGTCTCACTGATGTGACACCACCATTTTGCTTCCAAAAGAAAGCTTAGTCCACAGCCTTTTTGGTTAGGCAACAGAGTTACTGATTTGGGTTGCCAAAAAACTGTGGGAGCATGGAACCCTTAGAAATCAGTATCTCGGAGTATTTACAGTTATGGGGTCTAACAGAAGTGCACAGATGAAGAGATTCAGAAAATCCAGCTTCTTGTTAGGTGGTCAAAATGGCTCCTGCAGAACAGCAAGCCACATAGATGGAATCATGTCATGTATCTCTTACCAGTTCAAAACTACGTATCATGAAAAGAGAAAAATAAAATAAACCTGCCTGCAGTTGTTTTCTGCACAAACCCAGTAGTTCCAAAGGTTTCCACGGCTTCTCACGGAAGAAGATCAGGTCACTCTGGAATATTTACTGCTTGGCTAGCTCTGGTAACATACATGTTCCTATTGCAGAAGATCTCTTGGTCTGTTTGACTTTAAAGGTGTTGAGCTTCGTGTTTTTCTGTGTTGTAATGACATCAGGAGTTAATGAGGATTAGGATTTTGTGTCAAAGGTCTCTCCAGTGACTCCAGTTGCCTGGATGTTAGCCTGTATTTTAAGTATTAGATGTTTATGTGGATAAGAAAATATCCATAACTATATGAAGTAGGTAAAATAGCCTTAAAGGATACGGATTTCAGAGTAGAAAATAACTGCCAAAAAACTGGGGATTAAAAAAACCCCAAACATTCCCCAGTGAGCTGTAGTTTCTCTTCAGGTCTTTGCTTCATTCTAGAGCACTTGGTATTGGTGAATGTAGAAATTAGGATGTGGGACTCCTGGGAGTAGGGCTGATTTTGTGCCAATCAGTTTGGAACTGTTACCTGGAAACAGTTCAACTTGTGATGCTTCTTGTGTTCACGTATTAGCCTCCTGCCAGCTTCTCCATGCAAAATTAACCTGCATTGGGACCATCAAGGTGACCTGATTATTTTTTTTTCCCCCTTGGCCATTATGATTTATTTTTATGCCTGTTCCAGACTCTGTTTTTGACTCATTGTGCTTACTGTGGAAGTCCTGGGCTCCCAGCACAGCTATTGCCAGTGATTTTAAGTCTTTCTTCTCACCTATGTGTGCTTTAATGTTGTGTATTTGTTATAGATTAAATAAATTTCTAATGCCTGGTAGCACAAAAGTGATGCTTTTTGGTCCATTTCGTCTTACAATGCTCATGGGTTATTTCTTGCTTTCTCTCACTCTCTAGGTAATTGTGGAAAAAGCACCAAAAGCTAGAGTACCCGATCTAGACAAAAGGAAGTATCTTGTGCCTTCTGACCTCACAGGTAACAAAGTCCATTCTTCCTGATTTTTCAGTGAGAAGGTCTCAGAAGTACTTTTTACTGTATGATCAGTACCAAGAAAATATCCAGGCAGGCTCCACATTTTAACATCACCCAGTTTACGTGGCTGTCCTTGTTATATTTATGCACTTTACATCCTGGATTACAACAAGCAGAATTCTCCTAAGATCTTCTGAGGTGTCCTACTGACTTAGCTAACATACATGTGTCACAGCTGACTTCTAACTATGATGAAAATGGCTGGATGGCATGTCAGAGGCAGTAGCATAATCATCAGTTAATGATGACCTAGCTGCAGAGTTGCCAGAGGCTATATCCTTGTTGCAGGAAGAGGCAAATTCTTCAAGTAGTCCCATAATTTTCCAAGGTGAAGTGGTTGGAGTCATGGCTACGGAGTTTCTTTTCTGAATGGTCATAGACGTTTTGTGTGTGAGTACATTTGTTTTCATTTGAGCATATGAACAAGTTAAGGGAACAGCATTTCTTTTTCTTGCCGTATATAGTGGATTGCAAAATACTTTCTTGTGTAACGTGGCTCAAGCAAATAGCAAGGAATTTGTTTTCAGGAATGCTATGACCACTTACACCAAGGCTAAATTCTCTAAGGTGTGTTTGAGCTATAGGATTTAAAGGTTAAGCTAGTTAGAGGTCTTTCCACCAGTTCCTGCATGTACCTGAGAAACTGCCAGCTCCAAGTAGATTGGCTGCTAATGTGGTAACAGTCATGAAGTTTCTGCTTTCTTTCCTACATTGTTCATTTTCCCCTACTTTTCCCATACAGCATGTGACTTCTGCCACCAAAAGAAAACAACCATGGTTAGGGTAAAAAAAGCCCCCACAAAACAAGACACCAAAAAACCCAAACCAAATGTTCTTTCTGCACCTAAGGCATTCTTCTCTATTCCTCTTCAGTTGGCCAATTCTACTTCTTAATCCGAAAGCGGATCCACCTGAGGCCAGAAGATGCCCTATTCTTCTTTGTCAATAATACCATCCCTCCCACCAGTGCTACCATGGGCCAGCTGTATGAGGTAAGCCTGGCCCATCTCTTTTTCCTTTGTTGGAGTATCTGGAAGAATGCGTATCTTCACAGAAGGACAACTGACCACTAGTCTACTGGCAATGCGTGCAGCTTGGTCATAGATGCCTGAACATGGACCCTCTTGGCCTGGGCCGTATTCCATCATCTCTTTAGGGAAGTTCCATCCTGCAGTTATAAAGGGGAGCCTGCGGAGCCTCATCATTTAACTGGTTGTTTGCTAGTTAGAAGGATTGTTGTTACCAGATGGTAAATGATTGCCTCAGCAGTGATACGTTGTTCCTGCCACTTTTAACAAAGTAATGAACTAAACCTTTTTTATTTATATTTCAGTGGAAAGATTGTATGGGAGAGGCAGAGTAGAACACACATTAGCTTTCCTGTTTATACCAAAGAGATTTCCTTTTAGCCAGTAAAAGAACACAGTATCACTGGGCAACGAACTGTCTATATACATTGTCAAGGAACACTTATTCTCTGTTGAGCATTTTTCGTCGTTCGCACTGTGTATGTGAGGACCTTGTAGGACCCTGAATATTGCTGCTCAGCGTTTCTGCTGAGCAGTGTTATTTGATTGACCTTAAAGGCATTATTCTAGGCCTGTCAGAGGAATGTCCTCAATCAGCTGGTTTGCAGCCTGGATTGATTTCTCCTTTTGCTGTGTTAGTGTGCTTTCATAGGAGAGCTCCAGTATGGTGCTGGGAACCTTGTTTGACCTGTCACTTTTTGGCAGTAACTGGACAATTTGTATGTGAATGGATGCAAATCATATAAGATTAACACACATGGGGAGTTTTCCACATCTGGACATGTAGCAGGAAGGTATGTCTGACTGTCCAGAGCTGAGAACTCTGTTCCTGACACTCTGCAGACTTTCTGTGTCAATGTAATCACTTCACATCTCAGCTTTACAGCCCATATGTAAACCAAGACTAGAAATACAGCCACTCGTCAGTGTTCTGAAAAATGACAAATATAATCACATCTAGCAAATACTTAAGTATCTAGAGGTGATTTTTGACTTGTTAAAGCCTTTCAAGTCTCTCCTCTCAATCTTCAGGCCATACCAGTGCTGAGATTCTACTGCTTAGCCTGAAACAGTCAGAGCTGTTTCTGTAGCATGTTTGAAGCACACTCTGGCTGTGGGTCTTCAAGTAAATTCTCTGTGTCCAGAAACATGACATGCATGAATATATAAACAGAGCTGTGGCCAGAGGGAGGCAGTTGCTGTAAGCTTGGGTTTGGTATGAAGAAGTAAAGCCTTTGATATAAAGGGGGAGAAATAGTGAAAGAGAGGTTATGCCTTCTTGTTACAGTGATCTTTTGGCTTTTCCACATGTAGCAAGTTACAGGGCTTTGGTGTGTTACTTTATCCCTTTTTGCCCTTGCAGGATAACCATGAAGAGGACTATTTTCTCTATGTGGCCTACAGTGATGAGAGCGTGTATGGCAAGTGAGCACCAGCCCCTCAGGCATGCAGGCGAGATGGACTGATGGAATGGATTTGGGGGGGGAGTCTTGGAGGGGCAGAAAGAGGATGCCTGAAAAGAGGGGAGGAGAACTGGAAGTGAAATACATGCACAATGCCATCACCTACCATGCATTAATGATAACCTTTTATTTTTTAAATGGGGGGGTGGGGGTGGGGGGACAGTGTATGAAAGGGTGAACTGAAAGGCTAACAAGGGGTTCTGCACTGAGGGATGGGGAGACTCCACTGTTCATAGTTCTTCTCTTGCCACAGCTGGATGTAGTTAGCCAGTATTGGAGGCTGCTAGACAAGCCATTGTGGTGGAGCTCCAGGAGAGGGACTGGGGAGGCATTGTGGTGGAGCTCCAGGAGAGTGACTGGGCAGGAAGGCCATTTTTGTGTAACCCTTTCATTGGCTGAAGACACGCCATGTATTGTACACTGACCTTGTCACACCTTGCCCATGACACAAGCTTCACTCCTGTGAGCATTCAGTGAGCTGTGAAATACTTCACTCTGCCCACACAAGGCTGTGCTACGCTGACAGTCTGCACTCCTACAGCTACCTGTGAAGTGTTCCAAGAGTATTGTGTTTCTCATCATTTCTATCAGTTATTAGAAGGGCTGACTCTGAGGGCTGGGAACTCAGCTGTGAGATGTGAAGGTTGGGGAAAAGAAGGATTTCCCCACCACCACCACCACCTTTGTTGCTTCAATTGCAAGTGCTGCAGAGAAAAATGAGAGAAGACATTTTCATTCTTATCTCATGAAGTCAACTGATAAACTCGTAAGCACAGGGCTAGAAAGGACCTCAAGAGAATGACTAGCCTACTCCAGCTCTGTGGCAGGACTGAGTATACCAAACATGTCCACCATGGCTGCTCGTCAAACTTGTTCTTAGTGAGCTTCATTGAGGCAGATCCTGGAGGCTGCTGAATTTGTCTGTTCAGTTCCTAGCTAGCCTACAAGTGAGAGAGCTTTTCTTGCTACCTAACTTTAGTCTCCCTTGCTGTGTATTAAGGTAACTAACTACTAATGGTCTTGTTATTGGTGAACACAGGAAATTATCTATCAGTGTTGTCCTTGCACCAGTCTACTGCAGATTTGAAGATGGCAGAAGTCCTGTGGGTTTAGCCTTCCATGTCTCACCCTTGTACAGTCCTTGCACCATGTACACAAGCAGAAGAAATCCGTCGCTCCCACATGTGTTTTGCTAGATTTTTGTGATTGGACAACAGTGCCACTCTTTGCCACAGGAGAGGTGCTTTTAGACTTGAAGGGAAATAGATTGTCTGTAGATTTCTTTTTTAATTATTATTATTTTATTTTAAGCCAGTGTTGTTCTTAGAAGGGTGGCAGATAGATAGATCCTGTCCTGTGCAAGCCTTATGCTGTCATGCCAAAGCAGTTTCTTCCCAATGGCACAAACAGCAGATTTTCCCATAACTGCCATAACTCTGATGAAGGGATGGGGGTTGAGGAGTGAGCTGACTTTCAGGAAAATTGTGGGTTTTACCTAAAAATCAGAGAACTGGACCTGAATTACTGTAATCATTCCTACAATTAAGAGAGGGACCGAGAGGGAGGAAAAGACAAGAAGGATGAAGAAGACAGGCAGATTCTGAAATAAGTTGAAGGTGTTTGCTTTCCTTACATGAAGTTAGATCCCAGTTCTCTGCGTTCCTCAGGAATGAGAAATCAAAAGGAGTGCTCCTTGATTGTGGAAGACAGGAAATTAGGTTTCAGCGTTCTCTCTTGTTCCACAGAGACAGGAGAGCAGGCTGGGAGCATGAAGTGGAAGTTACTGGCAGAACTGTGTGAAGGTCAGGGAAGGCAGCGTGGTGGGGCAGGAGGGTCACTACCTGTGTGGTATGGGAAGTAGTAGAAGAGTGGGAGAGAAGGGGGGACCACAAAGGAGGTAGACAGGGTAGTCATAATGACAGACAGAAAATGGGAAATAAAGGATGAAATGGGTGGGTTAGCATCCCCAGTTTTTCCTTCTGAACTTCAGGTTTGCTGTTCCATCATCTGGAATAAATGCATTTGGATGCGTTGTACCTTCTGCCAACTCAGATAACTTCAGTTTCTGCCTGCAGTGCTCAGTCCTCTCTTTTTAGACCTCTCTCCTCCAATTACCAGGCTCTTTTCACATCCTTTGGGTGCAAATCCGAATCGGTCTCTTGTTTTAGGAAGCTCTGTCTGTTCTGAAGCAAAAAACAGACCCAGGAGGCTTTTCAGGGTAAAAAACAAGATGCAGGCAGATGGTGTGCATTTCTCTGCCGCTGTCACACTTGCTCACATGCGTGCTGCCAAGCATGTAGTTGTGTGTTGTCTCAAAGCTTAAGGGAGAAAAGAGTTGGCATCTGGGGTGCTTGGTTTTGAGTTCAGACCCTCCCTCCTGTCCTGCTGATGGGTTTATACATGACATGTGTGGGACTAATCTCAGCCATTTGTTACAAATCAAGTTTACAGTTTGATTTAGTTGTTTTACAGTTCTTTTAACTGGATTGTGGCATTTACTTCTGTTTTTGTGCTAGTCTGGTATTGTACAAGGTAATGATGGTAATTCTTCTTTGTGTTGGTTAGCTGCAGGTTCTTGTAAAATAAAGTTCATACTACTTGAGCTAAATGAACCAATCAATAAAGATGCATTTGAAAATCACAGGCTTGATCCAAAATGGTTAACTAGCATTTCTTCCTGATGTGGGCTTGTAAATAAAGGGACAGCTTTGCCAGAACTTCTTGCTGCTACTTCTTCCCCAGATTTACTCTGTCTTGTCTACCAGGACAAGTCACTTCCCTCCTTTTGTTGTTATACATAGCCCTGGGTATATCTTGCTGTGCCACCAGTGTGGACCTCAATTAGACCTGGATCAACATGAGAAGCTCTTAAGAAGCATAATGGATGCAGAGGCATTCTCTGCCGTTTTAAGGCCCTGAACAGTCCTAGCCAGTTGATAGGGCCCTGAGCGCACCATCAGCCATGACTGTCCTTGCCAGACCCCTGGGGCCACCAGTCAATCTGCCCGTGGCATGGGCCCCATCTTATCCCCTCCAGGGCTGTCAGACCTGTCTCAGTTCCCAGCTCTCCATAGGCCTGCCCTGCCCAGCTATGAGCTGTGTAGAGCCATGGGCCCAGCTTCAGCCCATGACCATCCCAACAGCCCTGCCATCACTGCACCTCATCCTGACCCTGCCCTGCAGATGAGATTCCCATCTTGGCCTGCCTCATCAACATTATAGTTGGGGCTTGTGCCTGGGCCTGGCAACCACAGAATGGATTGGGTTGTAAAGGACCTTAAGATCATCTAGTTTCAACCCCTGTGCCATGGACAGGGATGCCTCACACTAGACCATGTT